CTGCGACGTTAAAGAATTCTTGAGGAGTTACGGGGGATCTCCTTAAATGCCTCCTGATCAGCCACTGGTTCAGTAGTGACAGCCATAGCATAGGTCTAGGCTAGAGACCATAGTTGACAGGATCCCTGTCAGGATTCTGCAAGTCTTAGATTGAGTCTATAGGTTTGTCAGTTAGGGGTTAGAGTCTACGTGGTGAGGAGTGGAATCATCCTGATTGTGCACCTATCACCATGGTTGAGACCCGTACTGGGTGAGAGACTAATCCCTATAGTCAGGASCAGCAAGAAAAGATGGCCGCCTTAGTCAGAGAGAACAGGGAGAGGAAAAAGCGTGAGAAGCAAGCGAAGCTAAAGGCTATCGCAGACGAACAGGCGGCGAAGATGAAGAGATTGGAGGAGGAGATGAAGAAAGTACAACAAGAGGAGGAAGAAAGAAGAAAAGCTGCTGAAGCCGAAGCGGCAGCAGAAGAAGAGAAAGAGAGGATGAGGATTGAGAGTGGAGAAGGGAGTAGTGGTGGCACGATGAAGTGGGAGGCAGATACTGAGCTGGAGAAGAAGATCAGCGAGTGGGTCGCTAATTTATCGTTGGGGGAAGACGAGGAGGCGGAGTCATATGTGACTAAGGATGAGAAGGCTGCGTTGGCCGCTGAGCTAGCAGCCATGACAGACCCGATGGAACGAAGAGAGAGGAAAGACGAGCAAAAGTTAGCATGGAAGTTGAGAATGAAGAGGGAGAAGAAGAGGAGGAAAGAGGAAGTGAATAAGATGACCGCAGCAGTGGCAAAGGTGCAGGAGTGTAGAGCGGAGGTGCTGGCCCAGCCAAGATGATAAGGCCAAGTGGGACAAAGTACTGGGCTATCTAGAGGTGTTGAGCAAGGCCTGGATGGAGGAGCGTCTGGCAAGCTGGAGCCAGGATGTAGCGTTGAGTGCCATGTGGTCCGGGTTCAGGGATTTTGCGCGCGAAATCGTCACCCACATTGGGGGCGAAGTCAAGCAATTGAGAGATAATGTAGGGAAGTTTTGTGAGGGCGCCATTCAGGGTGCCAAAGCTGTAGCCGCTGTATGGGGAGAGGCCAAACCCCGTAAGGACCCACTGAAACTCAAGTTCCCAGATGCGTACGGGGGAAAGAAGGAAGAGAACTTTGACAAYTGGGAAGCCAATGTCAACAGTTATATTTACTTGCAACATATCCTAACAGAGAAGCAAGTCCTCGTGGCCTTCCAGGCCCTGAAGGACGAAGCGGCTAGCTTCRCCAGGTCWCTCGCGCGTACAGCCGGTTGTGAAAACAACCTGGTTGCATATTCCAAAGTCACTCCTYTTTCCCAATTCCTCAAGCTCCTCAAGGAGCGGTTCGCTGACCCAACGCGAGGCATTAGAGCCTCCGATAAGCTCCAAACGATCCACTCCCGACAGTGGAGGAGTGCCAAGGCACTCAAGGGTACCATGGACGACTTGGTAGCCGTCCCGGACCACGGGGTCACTGAGCCCCAGCTGGTCCAGTTGTTTTATCGTGCCATTCAAGAGGCCCTATGCGGGCATTTCTTTGACAAATCTCAGCAGCCCGGCATGACTTACGATGTATTGAGTAGAGAAGTTGTCCTGTATGAGTCGAAGTCTATGCCAATTACCACTTTCTGGCATAAGGACTTGGAGAAGGGGAAGAAGTGGAAAGATCGTACCATCTCGGGAATTTCTTTTGCCCGAAATCGTCTCTATGATAAACCAATGACTTTGATAGGCCAAGTCAAGGCCAAGGATCACTTGATCCTGACATTAGAGGAGGGTGGTACAGAAGAGGTCCCATATGATCAGATTGAGTGGGGCCTAGGGGAGGAGTACAGTTGTGTAGGGCAGGGGAGGTCTTACGCTGTTGTCGCAGCTAGAGGGAGGCCGCAAGGTAGAGGAGGAGGCCAGGGCCAAAGGGGCCAGGCCATGGGAGGCCGAGGACCGGGCGCACAGGGGGTTGGCGGACAGGGAAACCGCCAAGCGGGAGGTAGGGGTCAAGGTC